ACATCTACATCTATCCTCTGTTACAAATTAAAATGCAGATGCGTTGCCACCCGCGAGGACTAAGATGGAATGCCTCATTTCCAGTAAAAAGGGCCTCCGGCCACCTGCACTCACCAAGCGAAACGCAGAGGTAAACCTGTAGAGGTTCACGCTGGTTTTCTGTGAGGTCGTGGTACTACCCCGGTTCGAGCCGGCCCATCCGTGCGACAGCAAAAGCTGCCGCGTGGCTCTACCACTTTTAAAATTTAACTAAATCTTTTATGCGAATCTGATAAACGTCGAATCTTCTTTGTAAATCCTATTGAATTTCCTATTTTATATTTTCGCCACAGTACCATGAAAAATATTTAAATCAAAAACTGCTATGTGGTAAGCTCATATCCAGCAGTGAAGTGCTTACGGGCTGATGAGATGAGGTAGCTTCTTTTATATTAATTTTAAATAAAAACTGTATAATATTTTACACCTCAATGTAAAAAAGTATATTATGTATATGAGAAAAAAAATGTTTCTTCCTATATCACAGCTCCGTGGCGCAGTGGTTTAGCAATGAGTTGTTGCGCTTGGGGCCGCGGGTTCGAATTCCACACGGAACAAGTATTTGTATGGCCTACAAATAATTGTTCCTGGTCTGGATGTTTATAATCGTGCAATCTGTGTTTGTAAACTGCCTCCACGATACAGGAGAAAATCCTTTTTTTTTTTTTTTTTTGCGGATGGAAAATCATCTAATGACGCCTTTCGCTGTGGGTGGAGCGGAAGGGAGTGTCAGACTTTTACTGACTAAAAACCATCCGTGTTCCTTCAGTGCCCTTACGTTCCGGAGCCGCGGTATCTCTTTCGAACAGCCCGCAGCCCCGGCAGGCGTCGGCCCTTGCGGGCCCCTTCACGCTGCTGACAGCTCTTTGAGGCGCGCGTGGAACAAAACGCGCCGTCGACACGGCCTGTCGTCGTTAGACGGACGGACGGCGAGCTACCCATTGCTCGCCGTCCACAGGCCCGCGCCTACGGTGGTCGGGGGCCACGACGTAGCCCCCGACGCCCGGGGCGTCTCCCGCGGCGGCCGGGAAGGAAAGCTGTTGCTCTTTCCCTCTCCCGCTCCGCCACCTCCTTCGCTAGCATCACTGCTTCGCAGAAGGTGGTGACGGCATCCCATTCCGTCTCGCTCCGGACCATGGCTTCGACCAGAGCCGGACGCGAGAGGTCGCCGCCGCCTATCGCCGCTACGAGGACACGGCGGTGCTCCGCCCAAGCAGAGCACACCTCCACGGTGTGCTCCACCGTGTCCTCCGGTCGATCCTCGCAGTGGGAGCACCCGGGCGTTTCCTCCCGCCCGATTCGGTGCAGGAACCTCCCGAACACACCGTGTCCGGTGAGGACCTGCGTCAGGCGGAAGGTGAGGACGCCGTGGCGTCTCTCAAGCCACTCCTCAAAGAGGGGTCTTATCGCCGCTATAGTGGCGTGCCCAGCACGGGGTTGCGACAGTCGCTCTCTCCATGTCGCCATGAGATCATGCCGGAAGTCTGTCCGCTGCGCGACAACTTGCCGCGGCAGCGGGGTTTCCCCCCGGCATAGTGCTGCCGCGCGCCATTCGTGCAGGCGCGCGAGGACTATCGCCTCCAGATCCCATGGCGGCAATCCGGCAAGGAGGCTCGCCGCCTCGCGGGAGATCGTGCGGTAGCCGCGAACCATCTTTACGGCAACCACCCTTTGGGGCGCGTTTAGGTGGTGGACGGCAAGCCGCGCCAAACCACGCACAGGAGAAAATCCTAGTGTGGGGTTATCGTTTTTAAACATAAAATAAAAAAAAAATATTTCTTTTTTTACTTTTTCTTAATATTTCGTTATAATTGTCTATTTCCAGAAGTCAAGTACGTCTTGGCGAGTGGAATATCACGAGTAGGCGAGACTGTGTTCAAGACGATTGCAGCCCCACCCCACTGGACGTCAAAATTGAAGCCATAATACCTCACGAGCAGTATTCAAAGTTTGACTCACATCAACAGAATGACATAGCGCTATTAAGACTAGCACGCGACGTTACATATAGCGGTAATTTTGTTTTTTAGTTAGTGATGTTGCATTTATTCGAATTCGCCATCGCAGCTAATCAGTAGAGAATGCTACGCGCAGTGTTCAGCGCATCTACCTTCAAAGTTTCGAGTTTTAATCATAGTAATTTGGCCACATTGATGATTAATTTTATTGTTCTACTAGCTGTTCCCCGCGACTTCGCCCGTGTGTAATTTAGGGTTTTAATTATATTGCTCAGAACCCTAATTCTTTTTCTCAAATATAAGTAGCCTAGAACATCAGTTATCTGCCAATGAAAGTCCTGTCGAAATCGGTCCAGCCGTTTCGGAGATTAGCCGGAACAAACAGACAGACAGACTGACAGACAGACAGACAAAAAAATTTAAAAAATTTATTTTTGTTATAAGTACCATAGGTATATACATTCATGCATTTAGTAAAAAGCTGTTATTTTGAGGTTACAAACAGACACTTCAATTTTATTTATTTGTATAGTTTCTATGAAACATAACTGTCTCAATTTGTCCTGTAAGTTCATACTTATTTATAATATTCACGTTCAAAAACACAAAGTTAGAAAAACAGGTGATCGACCAAGGATCCGAAGTGCGTGGATGGTATCACGAATTTTGTCGATGTATGTGATGACGAAATTTGGCGACTACAATTAAATTCGACAATTCCTCAATCCACGGAGGTGAAACACCGCCTACTTCCGACTGACTCCGGGCTGCAACTGGGAATTTTTTGACCTAGGACCTCATGATCAGGGGTCGGTTTACGATCAACAGACCAACGAAGCAGACAGAAATTAACTATATGTATAGATTAAAATTGTAAATACACTTCCTATACAACGTGTCCCAAAATTCAATTTCCATTCAATTTTGTAATGTACGTACACAAAAATAAAAGTAGTTTTACAAAAATAAGTGATATTCATTCTGTAAATACTAGGAACAGACACGAGCTAGTAGTACCAGTTACTCAACTCCATCGAGTCAGTAATTCATTCTTGGGGCGATGTATACGCTTTTACAACAAAATTCCAGAAAATATACAAAATTTCACCGGCTCAAAGTTCAAAAAGTTTATTAAACTAAGTTTGTATAAAAAGGGTTATTATAATATTAAGGAATTTATGGATGATAATAACCCCTAGAAATGAGGTGATCGCTACCAAGCTATTTCTAATTTGTTGTGTTGTTAATTTGTGTAACATACATGATTGTAAGGTGTTATTTAAAAAAAATCCCGCTGGGTTTCTTGCTGGTTCTTCCCAGGACAGAGGTTTTTTCCGAACCAGTGGTAATCAAACAAAAGAGTGATATTCAATAAGTATTATTTATAATCTATATTGAATAAAAAAGTTTCTGTTCTGTTCTGTTAAAAAAAAAACATTGATATTTACATATTTGTAGACATACTACCTAAAAATATTATAAAGCGCGCCAAATTATAAAGTATTTAAAAAAAGTTAGGATTGTAACTTAAAAAAATTGTCAGATTTTTTTTGGTTTTTATTTTTCCTGGTAGTCATCAATTTGTCCACTTCCAGTTGCTACCAGGGCTTAACGTTGAATTTTGAGATATGTCGTATACCTATCATATAGACTTCAAATTATAAAAACCCGTAACTCCAACTTATGTTATTGTTTTTCAGATTTCATCAAACCAATTTGTCTCCCGTTAACACAAGATCAACGGACCAACTTATTTGTTGGATATGATATGGAAGTGGCTGGATGGGGTAAAACCGAAACAAGTGAGTTTTTTTTAAAATGTAGGATTACTTCAAAATTGATCACATTTCATTCAATTGCTAAGGAAGCAAATTGACGCAAGGTGAATTATGTAAGCTCCAACGGGAATCAAAATTATCCCAGATACGTAATCTCAGACTAGTTTTAACCAGTCCACTCAGAAGAGCACTGCCTACAGTAGGTACACCTTTTTTTTATTTACATGGGGAAATGCCTACGCATACCCACCTCGCGGGGACAAGGACGGGTTATGTCGGACTCGCACCGACTAAAATCCCATGGTGTTCCACCTTCGCCGCATATTGGCAGGGCCACGGGAACGCTTTCGCACACATCCGCGGCCCCACCAACTCCGGCCGCCCCATGGCAGCCCCTTCTCGGAGGAGGACCTTTCCTCCCCATTCCCCTTCTCAGGCAAGGCGCACCAGGAACACAAGGCACGCTCCCCTCCACGGCCCTCCCGAGTCCTATACGCGGAGGCCATGGGGCCAGGAAAATCGAGCGCTTAGTAGCTCCCGACGCCGCGGCGGATCTGGTATCTCGCTCCACCGCCAACCAAGTTTCAGCCGCGGAGCCGACACTCCTCTCCCCCCTCGGCCCCACCACCACGGCATCAACAGTGCGGCCCCGTCATAGATCGCGGAGGATAGGGCGAGTGGCGCATCGCCATACCAACACTCCTCTTCCTCCGCTACTCCACCTCGGCTGCAGCGGCAGGGGAGGACACCCCTCTCACCGCAGCCCACCAAAACACATCCGAAGTGGGCTCGCCAAGCCCAAGAGTGGCCACCTCGGGCCGGCCCTACACCACGGGCCAGCCAAGGGGTTCCTCCTTCTTTACCGCAGGTGACCAAGCCACGGCTACTAAGCTCCCCGCCACGACAAGGCGAGAACCCGTTCGGATGGGGGGGGGGACCATAAGACCTAGACTTAAAATTTGGTAGGAATGTTCCTTTCGCCGAGTAGAGATCAGCTAAGAACGTATTAAAAAAATTCTATCTGCAAAGGCGTTAATTAAAAAAAACACATTTTCAAAGTATAGCTCTTATAGGTATAAAACTTGGCCAGAATATTCCTTTCGGCATATTAAAAATTACTAAGAACGGATTTTATGAAATTCCACCCACAGCGGGCAGTGCAGTTTTGCAATGCTACGGAACAACAGTGGTAGAGCCACGCGGCAGCTTTTGCTGTCGCACGGATGGGCCGGCTCGAACCGGGGTGGTACCACGACCTCACAGAAAACCAGCGTGAAGTAGAGGTTTACCTCTGCGTTTCGCTTGGTGAGTGCAGGTGGCCGGAGGCCCTTTTTACTGGAAATGAGGCATTCCATCTTAGTCCTCACGGGTGACAACGCATCTACATTTTGATTTGTAATAGAGGATAGATGTAGATGTCTATGGGCCGCAGCAACCACTTACCACCAGGTGGACTGTGTGCTAGTTTGTCACCCTTATCCTATAAAAAAAAACTATGTTTGCTAGCTAGATTAGATATATGGGGGCTAATTTTTGTGATTATCCAGACACACACAAATTTCTCCCGAATTGGGTTTTGCAGTATATCAGTAATAATAGTAATTTTTCTTATTATTTCAGGATCAATGTCTGAAATAAAATTAAAAGTACGTGTGCCTGTAGTCGATAAAAACACATGCTCAAATGTATACAATAAGGCTAATCGGATTATAACTGAGAAGCAGATGTGCGCTGGGGGCCTTAAGGGCGAAGACTCTTGTCGCGGTGATTCCGGCGGACCTCTGATGGGTCAAATGCCTACCGCTCAGAACTGGCTGGTAGTCGGTGTGGTGTCCTACGGTCCAACGCCTTGTGGTACAGCCAATTGGCCCGGAGTGTACACGCGTGTAGGCGCTTTTGTCGACTGGATCGTATCGCATATGTATTAGCACTTTCACCCTACAGGAAATATATACGTTATAGTTGAGTAGGAGGCGATTGTAATTAGCTTATGTATGCATAATAAAAGATGTAAGTAGGTAGTTTTTTTTTGTATGCGGATAATATCCCAAGCCAATTTTTATTAAGCAGTTCTACTCAAAATACAAACGAATTAGAAATTCAAAAACATGTTTAATACAAAATTTTACTCTTAAAATGTGCCATTGTACTATTAAACTGTTAAATAACTGAGGTTCTTCTGTTTAATTCTAAATTTCTAAAGAATATTGCTAATAGTAATAATATGCTATATCATGTGTGTACCGCAAAAGATGAATGTGTAGAGAAAATTACCAAATCTATTGGTAAAAAGAACTTAATTTCGTAAATAAACCTTTTCTCTTTTGACAATTAAAAAAAAACAGTAATAAGACATTCCGTGTACTCCTTTAACACCTTAGTTCAGCTATGAAGAAAAACACCAAATTTAGGAATTATAAATAAATAAATATAATAAAATAGCCTTTATTTTTACTACAATGCAAACTTGACATATGATTAATCTAGGTTATAATAGTATAGTATAATTAATATGTATTTTTGTTGTATGTGTATGTATATATATGACGTAATTAATATTAGTAGTAGTCGCTTCTACGGCGTAGGCCTCTCCTAAACCTTTCCATATATCTCATTCCCGAGCCACTCGCATCCATAGGGGTCCACATCTCTGATTAAAAATGTCTCTCCACCTTTTATTTGGTCTCCCTTTTTGTCTCTTCCTGTCTCTTGGTATCCATTCTGTTAGACGTTTGGTCCATCTGTTATTATTCATCCTACAGATGTGTCCTGCCCAGTACTTGTTCTTTTACTTACATCTATTATTTGTTTTTTTTCCTGATGTTGACGTTGTTAACCTTATCTGGTAGTTTTAGACCAAGCATGCTTCTTTCCATTTTGCGTTAACAGATAGCAATTCATTCTTCGTCTTCTTTTCTCAATGACCACGTCTGGCAACCATATGTCAGGCATGGCAATATCGCTATTTCATAGAGCTTTTTCTTTATATTTATATTCATATCCTTATTTTTCATTATTTCTCTCAATCCCCAATATTTCTTCCAGGCTAGACTTATTCTTCTTTCTATTTCTTTTTCTGTATTGTTTACAAATGATACTAGCTGTCCTAAGTATACATATTCTTTTACATATTCAATTTTTTCATTTGCTATTATAATGTCCCGAGGTACTCCGTTGGTTAAAATCTTGGTTTTCATTGACAGTCCCACGTTTTTACTTTCCATTGCTAGTTCGAACACCATACTCTCCAATTCGGTAGCGCTTTCTGCGAAGACCACTATGTCGTCCGCGAAACGCAAGTGGTTCAGCAGTTCTCCATCTACCCGTATTCCTTTCTTTTCCCAATTTAGACGTCTGAAAATAGATTCGAGCACCGCTGAAAACAACTTCGGGGAGAGAGGGTCTCCCTGCCTTACTCCTTTTTGTATGGGGAATTCTGTACGTTCACGTTCTAGGCGCACTTTTGCTAGACATTTTGTATATATACTCTTGATTAAGTTAATATATTTCTGATTGACGCCTTGTTGTGTAAGTGATGTCCATATAGCTTTGAAGTGTAAATAATCGAATGCTTTTGTGTAGTCTATAAAACTTTAAATATAAAAATTTAGGAATTACCATTAGCTATATTATCGCAGCAGCAGACTACCTTGCTCCATCAAAACCCTCTAAGAAATGAGGTGGAAAACCTGTGGTTCAGCAGTTATTTATTAACTGTAAGGTGCACGGTTTGGCTTATATGGAGGCACCAGTACCACCACTAATTGGTATATAATAAATTAATCATTAATATACCAAAAGCTATCATCTTAATTGAAACCAGGATGGTAACCACGATGTACAAACGACCTCTACGGATTTAGTCTCCAAAGTGAAAGGAATATACAACAAACTTCAATGAGAATTGAGGACTAATAATACTACGCTCACCGGATGTCGCTAGTTGTACTGAATTAAACTTATTTTTTACATAGATGATATTTGACCATCTGTGTAACAAATAAGTTCGTGTCATGGTCATTTAAATTGCGTTTTTAAAAAAAAAGTTCTTCGATTCGCTTGCTAATGTATACATGTACGCAAAACAATACCACGGTGGTCTTTATTATATTTAGCGGTTTTTTTTTTAATTCTTCGACTACATTATATCCGTAATTTGGTTTATCAATTTGTAATTGATTTTATATAACTAATATTTCAGAAAGAAACAATCTTTACACTTTATAACAATCATGTCTAACAATCAATCATTGGCGCCACTCTGGTGGCAGAAAAAGTTCTTACTGATTTATAGATTTGACAAACATGTAAAATTAAGTGTTATGGTAGTTAGACAAGGAGTCATAAGGGTAGTAGTTACTAGATACCAATAGTTTTTGGAGTTATAAGGTGTCGAAAGTAGCTAGAAAAAGTAGCTAGAAAAACACAGACCGTGCGTCGGCCTTTTTTTTTCAGAAATTTGCTGTCCCACTAACATGTATCTTAGATGAAAACAAAAATATTGATTATAAAGATCTTTATTTTCCAAATTAACAAATTCAGATCTATGTATTTCTTAACACACTCTTCTAGGCAACCTAGTAGATTTCATATCTACATTATAATATTACATATTAAATATTTGTGGCAAAATATAAATTTGTACGAAAAATACAAAACATATCTTAATTAGAGATATAAATATCAGAAACATTATAGCAGAATTGGCACATATTTATTGTTTGTACTTTTCTTCTTCTTTGGAATAAATGAAATGTTATGCCACGATTCATGATACTGACTAAAATATTAGTACAATGAGAATTCTTTATAATATTCTAGAAACACGAAGTTTTTACTCTTTCTCATTTAAATTTACGATTTTATGGCTTTTTCTATATTCTAAGCTAGCAAAAAAGTCAATATATTATATGATACAATTGTGTAAAAAAATGTATAGTAAGACATAACTTACCTATATAATACTTGATTTACATTATTTTGATGTGTTCTTGTTTTATAATAATCCAGTACACAGATTTATTTTGTTATCTTCTATTATGCAGGTAAATACTTGTACATTTTGAATAAGGTGCTATCTTCGCAAATTAAAATAAAGTAAATTCAGAATAAAGTTTTTGGTGGATCTACTAAATAAAGTGATGAGACAATAACCGATACACATACATTGGTTTGTATTGGCTATATATACTTCTTAAATATTATTATTGCTATATTTTACTTAAAATTATATATTATGTAATACTACTCTATAATTTTAAACTATCTCTAGAGGAATGTAATAATTAATGGAATGTTATTGTTTCTAAGGAACTTAGTTAAGACCAGGAAAATTTACCTATACTCTGTACTATATTTAAATAATGTTAAAATCAATGGGATATGGTACAAAAAATATTAACCTACACTATTGATTGTAAAATATAAAAAAGATTTCTTTATTCTAATAAAATATGTATGAAAACCAACAACGCACGTAAACATATTTAAACACAGGTACATATGCCCTGATTCAAAATGAAATTACATGTAATAGGAATAAATATAAATATTTTTAAATGACAATAGCAATGATGACTATTGGAAGAATATATCTGTTTAAACTTTATATCCATCTGCATTGGGAAATAAACAGTCATATTACAGATACATTATGTTTTAAACAACCTTAAGATGCAGCTGTTATTTCAATCGAGACATTGTCTTGATTGGTAGGGGGTAGTTCTCGATTGACATCGTTTTGTTCCACAGTCTCCTGATCAGTGTTGCTTTGAGTATCTTGCCTCTCTATCGGATCTTCTGTGGCGTATGTATCTAACCCATTATCATCACCGTTCAATTGAGTTCCTTTAACAAGAGCCTCCTGTAGTTTGCTACTAAAATCTGGATCTAAATCAGATATCTTTTTAACAAGTCTTTCTTTTTCTTCTTCGGCCCATGTTGGATACCATTCATTAAACAATTTTATCTAAAAAGGTTAAAATAAGATTTTAATTAACTTTTAATTCAATTTTAAACAAAACTTGTATATATCTATAATATCCCCAGCTAATCATCTAATTTTAATTCTACTGTCACCGTTACAGACTACTGAAGTCCACTGCTAAACATAGGCCTCCCCCATAGACTGCCTCATAAGGGGGATATTTGTCATAGTTGCCATGCTTTGCAAGCAGGTTAACAACTACAGTTTTTTTTATTTTTAGTCATTATTAGGAAGACGCTGCTGCCCATCTCCTGATTTGTTTCCCTCTGTCACCTCTTACGACAACCACAGGATGATATGGGGTAGTTGATGCTTACAATGCCACTACATGGTAAAATTTTAATTGTAATAAAATCAAAATAAAAAATGGTTGTTAATAATTAATTGTTATTGCAAAAAGAAAATGTGTGTCTAAGAATTGGCTCTTACTAGTATCATAAACATCTATTAACAATATTTTTGATTTAAGGTGAAAGTGCCAGGGTGGTATAATCATCAATACAACCCTCTAAGTTAGTATAATCCTATTGTATGGCTATTTCCAGAAAAAACTTATTTAAAGGGATTATATGAACTTCGAGGGTTGTTTTGGTGATTTTAATGATAATAATTCTGAAACCATATACTTGTTACGGTCTCAAATCATATTTTGTTAAACATACAACCTGACACTGACCTGCAAATTGCACAAAACGTAAAAAAATTTAAATTTCGCGGGCTACCCTGGCGCTTTCACCTTAATATTTTAATTTTAGTAAACCAGTAGTCAACAAACTTGAACAAATTTTATAAAATACTGTTTTTTTTTTCACATTATACTACACTAAGTTGACCACATGGGAGTTTTCATCTTGTGTTTGAAATTAAAACTTTATTGCTAAATAAATAAACTGCCATAATCAGATCACATTTCAGGCCAAAAATCAATTATTCACTAATTCTTTTAAGAACTTAGTAGCAGCCAGAAAGTTAGTGTAATTTCACTCTTGTGCCTCAGAATACAGTTGAAATCAGAGAATGCATCTGTAATAGCACATTACAACAAAGGATTATAATGAACACACTTGTGCATTATGAAACTTTCCTTCACAGATAGCTAGACTTCATTGAGACTTGCCGATGTGACATAAATTTGGTCTGGAGGACCATTATATCACTTTCAATTTTATTTAGTTGTTATAACTAAATTTGTCAATTATAAATAAAATAAACATATTTCATTTCCAGTGTTATACAATGATTTGTATTAAAAAGGATTAAAAGAACATATTCAAAAATATGTAGGTATATATATATATATATATATATATATATATATATATATATATATATATATATATATATATATATATATATATAATCACCAGGCTGATGGAAAATAACAAGAATTATTTAAGGCCATTGTCTGTCACAGCAGAATGAATCATACAGACTTAGGAATTTTAATTATATCTTGTGTAAGGTCATTAAGACATGGAATTATTTAGATTACTATTGTGGGATGTTTGTATACAAACATTGCCAGGCAACTTAAATGTCTGAGAAAAAAAATATGGAGAACATGTGAACATGTCGTGTTTTTACGTGGTAGAGCCATGCTGCAACTATATTAGTAGTACAGTTGTAGCACGAATGGGTCGGCTCGACCAGGGAAGGACCACATTCTCACAGAATACCAGTGTAAAATAGCAGCTTAACGCTGCTGTGTTTCATATGGTGAGTGTAGAGAACCAGAGACCCTTATTACTGAAAACGAGACATTCCATCTTAGTCCTCACGGGTGACAACGCATCTGCATTTTGATTCTTTATTGAGGATAGATGTAGATGTCTATGCGCCTCAGCAACCACTTACCATCAGGTGGACTGTGTGCTCGTTTGTCACCCTTAGCCTATAAAAAAAAATGTCTCAGGCACTGGAGCGTGGTCGACAAATTCCTCTTTCACCCTCTCAAAAATGAGAAGACGCCTGTGCCCAGCAGTGAGATATATAAAAAAGCTGTAAAAATATTTTTTTATAGTTATAAGATATTTTTATTTTTTGATTACATCATTACTCCTCTTTTGTTTCTTATTTTGTCTAGACAACAAATTACTAAAGTATAATTTTGTTATAATAAAGCAACTTCTCAATAGTATATTATATATTTAGAGCAAAGTATATGTATAAATAGAATACTACTCCACTGTTTGGTGTGACTCTTTTTCCTGCCTAGGAGTCTGTCTGGAAAGTTAACAACCCTATTACCTACTTCTCCCACCAGCAGCAGTACTTACACTGCAGTGTGAGGTCTGACTGGTATTCCATTTTAGTCCTCAGAGGTGACAATGTATATACAGCCTTCTTTGTTTAAAGTTGACTGGAGTAGCTGCTTACCATCAGGGGGGCTGAAAATTCATTTGTTACTGATAATAAAAGATAGATGAAGCATGTTAAGCACAAAAATAAGGTAACTTACACGGCACTGAAACAAACTGACAGGTTTGTCTTGGCATGATAAATTAGAAAATGTTGCTGCAAGCTGATCTGGTTTATCTCCATGAGCTGCTGCAAGTACTGGGAGAAAATCTTCACGTTGAAGTTCACTGAACTCTTGGAACCACTGCAGTATGTACTGTAGCTGAGCTTCTGGGGTCAATCCTGAGGCGGACATATTGCGGACAATAGGATGCTGCTCACCTGTAAATATAATATTTAAGAAATAACAAATTTTTTCCAAGGTGAAGTGATAAGCAATACAAATAGTACCTATACACTTTAAAAATATTTTAATCACAAATTAAAGCTAATAAATGTAATGAATCACTGTCAAAAGAATTCAAATTATAAAACTAACTTTCAGATGACGCTGGTAAGCAAACTGCAGATCTAATAAGTAAACTCATGGCAAAAGGTTAATGATATAAAGTTAGGGTAAATGATATGATAGTACACAAGCACGAAACAAAACGCTACGTAGGTTCACTGATTAACTAAAATATTTCCGTGAGTTTCTTGGTATATTGCTGTGCTAACTTTCTATTATGTGGCGATTAAACAAGGTTAAATAATCGACATAATTTCACCTGTATGTGTTAAATCATGCACGGTGCCACACTTTCTATTCAATTAAATTTGCATTTTGATAACGATTTAAGTCGTAATCGTAGTCACAATAATATTTTACCACGAACAAACAAGTTTCACTTACTTCAATTTTATATTAGTCTTGCTATTCTTAAAAGTTTGATTCACTTTTAGAATTGTAGACGTAGTGTTTTGAAAAATATGAGGTATTGTTACGCTAGCTTTTCTGATTATTTTGCTTTGTAAGTTTTATTACTTCTTTCTCTTTGGGATTTTATGCAAAACAACCAGCAACAACAACTAGCAAATAGCAATTTGCAACTATTTTAGTATTTTATTTTGCAGTTTGTTTGCAATTGCAATCGCAACCACAGAGTACTTTTTATATATCGCAACGTTATTACGATCATAGGGCCCCTATACACTACTTGCGAAGTCGGGCGAGGAGAATAATAGTGTAGATTATGTAGATAGGTACTTCAATTCGCTTCATGCAACCTCGCTTCGCCTCAGGTGACTTCCGATCGCTATCAGTTTTTTGCGCCCGAGTCAATGGACTTCGCGAAGTGCCCCGAAGCTACACAAAGCGTCTCACTGCACTACTCGGCGTATGCCAGTTACCTATATATAATTTTTTTATGGATAAATATTAAATATGTAGCTTTCACGTTCCTCGGACTGCGATCGACTTCGACGGTTACTTCACGAGTAGTGTAGAGGAGGCATTACAGAGTCATGAGATTTGGTTTCCTTTTATCTTGCATTTTCGCTAAAACGTCTCCTCTACACTAGTCACGAAGTAACTTGACGAAGTGCTCGTCGAAGTCAATCGCAGTCCGAAGAACGTGACTACACACTCGTGCTACTTCGCGAAGAGCGCAGTCGTCTTGAGTCTCCCGCACCCTTAACATGAATAATTTATTTAAGAAAAATAATTAGGTATCCGCGCAAAAAATTAAAACCCTAAATTACACGCGAGTAAAGTCGCGGGGAACAGCTAGTTATAAATAATTAAAATACGAACAAACAATTTATATGTTCGAACAAGAATGAAAAAACGACGAAATATTAATTACTTAAAAGTGTAAAAAACTCAAAAATCCAAGTGGGGCTAGGTGCACCTTATAGTATAGTATCTATAGAATTATACTATATCTATGAGCTAAATACCTATGTCTATGCTAAATACAAAGCCCTTCAACGTAAATAAGGATGCCGACTCTTCCTAAAAACAGATTGATTTGTGAATCCATCCAAATTGAAGTCTAAAGAATAGATTTAGAAAATATTTAAGGTCTAAAATATCAACCCTTTTTTTCTTTTCAAAATAAAAATATGAATTTTTGTGTAACTCAACATATGTATGTAATATAATATAATATATTACATATTTATTATCTTCATTTAAGGTTTATGTGTTAAATAAGTTAAATCTTTGACATGTGTTCGTAATTAATAATAA